CGCCTGTACGCCTTCCTCTTTTCCTCCGCCCACCGTGTGTCCTCAGGCCTTTCCTGCTGTGTGCTCCGTGAGGTTGGAGGTGAGGCCGTGAGGCAAGCATTACTTTTATCAAAGAGAACCGAATCCACTCACTCCCAACTACTGCAGGGATGCGCCTGGGGCTCTGGCGGGGCACGCTCACACGACACAGATGGAAGGGAAACCAGCTCTCAGAACTGCTGCTGAATGGGCAACAAGGAACCAGATCATTCCCCGTTCCATTTAGAAGGCCTGAAGTCACTGTGGCAGGAGGAGCCTATGGCAGAATTTGTCATGCTGTAGCAGCCCCCAGGAAGGTGAGATGAGCTCAGGTGTCTGCAGACTCTCGTTTGGAGGATTTCATAGCTCCTAGCTGCTCTTCTCTTGGACTAATAGGAAAGGATGCTGTGACCTTGCTGTTTTGCTATCATGGTGTGGACCCTCTCGATGAAACGGTCTTATCAGCACACAGCCCAGCTCATATTTTTGTGGTAAGAGCCTGTTCCTGTTAATAACATCAATTCCTGACAGCTGCTTCTGCATACATTTCCCCATGGGAAGCCAGCAAGAAAAAAACTACTGTGGTATTGCAGGGTTCAAGCACGATCTGCCCAGGATTTGGCTCCCTCTTTCCCCTATAAACAATAGATGTATTGCAGAAAAGGGAATCCAGAAGGATTTGGGAGCTGGTGCACACAGACCTACACTCAGAACACAGGGCAAACTTTTTGGCGAGCACCGCCTCCCCCCTGAGTGTTCTTTTGGTGATGCCACTGCTGCTGCTGTGTATGCTGTAGGTCACTCCCAGCAAGAATTCCAAATATGACTCTTCAAAGACTGTGTCAGGCAACTCCTGATAGAGTTCATCTACTTGCTGTCTTTTTCCATAAGAGACATTTTCAGCAGCAGAAGTGAACTCACTGCTACAGAGAACCTGGTAAGAATCTGTGAGAGACACGCTTTTCATTCATGACAAGGGGTTCTGGCCAAATTCACAAGTGATTCTGGTTCTGAGTTGGAGGAGAAGCTCCCAGAAACACACAAACAATCATTCTGTATTCTGTCTGTGGTATTTATCTTCCATTCCCAGAGAAACAGAGGCACTGAAGAACTCTCTTCTCCTCCATTACTCCTCCAAGTGCTTCTCTCGATGCTCGCATACATCATATCCTAATTTCCACCCATTAGTATCATCTGTTCCATGTTTTCTTCATTACGCAGACTCTGGCTGATCTAAACTCATACACATCCCTTGGGAACCAAGCAGAATGCCTTCAAGCTGTGGATGATAAGCAAACACCAACTTACATATAATCAATCCCTTGATGAGCTATTTACCATGTGACATTACCAAAATATTTCTCATTGGGAACTATGTTTATCTCAGTCTATTTTTCAAACTACCCACAGCCCTGAAAATTCACATCCTGGTGTTCAGACACAAGCTTTCTCTCTATCATCTTGCCTTTTGCTTCAAGATTGCATCTACTTGACTCTGCAAACATTAATTTACCTACAGAAGCTGATTTATCTACAGAAGCCTGTGTCCTCCAGCACACATTTCTTCTCCTTCCACTGCTTCCCGTGGCTTAACACAGAACAATGAACACTTGTCAGAGAAAGCAATAGACTAAATGAAGAGTGGAGTTATACCTGGAACTCATTACAATCACTGAGAAATTCAGAAGCACTGAAAATAGAAATCCAATCTCAGCACTTGCAAGGAAAGGAATTAATAAGTGATCCTTCAATCGAGACTGACTCCCTTCACTTCAGCCACACCACTTCAGGACACTGACACCAATCACTGGATGCCTGCCAGCAAGGTGGGAGAGTGGCGCAGCTGCAGAACCTCCATAAGTGGTTCTCCTCCTTATTCTTGGGTCCAGCTTCTCAGAGGTATGCAAGGAACAGTCAGCTGCTTGAATAAGCCTTGAAGTTCTGGGTCCAGTCAGAGCTAAGCTTTAAGGAAGAGCTCATGTTTACTTTGGGTTGCAGAATCCAGGCATAAGAATGCTTATTCGGACCAGCAGATATCCCTTGGGCAGCACTAACACCAAGGAATACGATGATATTTCTTTGTGGAATCTCTCCCACCTGCAAATTCAGGGCGAAGGGAAGCAGAAGTGTGATTTGTGATTTCCTCTATGGGTATTTTGCTGCGAGTTGAACTGAATTAAGAAAACAAACCTAAGTCTGAGGTGAACCTCAGTGTAAAAAACCAGCACTGGGCAAACACTGAAGTGAATACATCACTTCCAGAACGCTCTTTTAAGGACTGTTACACCAGGGAGCGCACAGCTACCGACTCAAGGGCAGCACCAGCTAAAAGCCATCACACATCACTAATAAAATACCAGAGGAGTGCAGGCAGAGCTCGGATGCAAAGGCACTTAAATGGTGATAGGAGCTGTAAGCGGTAAGGGATGATGGACAGAACATCAGCAATACCTGAACCACACATCTCAGCCACGCCCAGATGGGCCTCACCATGTTTTACGACTGCAGCGGGCCCCATTCTTGAACCAGGTGATCAGTCAGTAAATCACCTCACTGCAGCACTTCTCCAAGCTAAGCGCGAGGCGAGGTGAGGCGAGACTGACAGCAGGCGCCACTCCAACATGGCGGCTCTCACGTGACACACAGCCACGAGCCTCGGCCCAGCCCCGCCCCACACTCTCAACGGGATTGGCCAGCTCCGGAATGACCCAACCAATAAAGAATCTCGCGCCTCCCGCCACCACCCGACTCAGCGGCTCTGAGGCTTTACTGGCTGTGGGGCCGCCAATGAGTGCCCTGTCAGCGCCCGCCGCCATTTTGGCCCAGGCTCCGCTACTCGACGCCCCGTTTTTCCGCCTTTGCTCTCGACTGGCTCCGCTTCTCCCGGGGCAGCTCGGCCCCGGGCCGGTCCCTCGGTGAGGGCGGGAAAAGTCATCTGAAGGCACAGCGGTGAAGCTGAGCCCGATGGCGGGCGAGGGGCCTCCCCTCTGGCCGCGGTGCTGCGCCGCCTCGGTCCATGTGGGTGCGGATGAGGCTGCGCTGCGCTCCGGGGCCGCGGGGGGGCAGCAGGCGGCCGAGCTCTCCGAGCAGCCGGAGCTGCTGCTGCGGGGCTGAGGCGGGTGGCTCGTCTGCCTTTCCTGGTGCCCGGCTCCAGAGCCGGGATCGCCGTGTGGAGCTGTGCCAGCGTAGCCGTTGGTGCCGTGCCGCCGTTGCTCCCCTCCCGCCGTCAGAGCCCTCCCCGTGGCCGGGATTCGGGACCGTGGGGCTCATCTCCGCCTCTCCTGGTGGCCGAGGCTCTCAGCTTTGCCCTGTGTCACCTCCCTGCCAGCGTGCTGCTCTGCTGGGACTTGGCCTTGGCGAGGGGCATCCCTTGAGGGATTGCACTTCTCCCTGGTGTGGGGCACCCTGCACAGGAGGGCCCCTCTGGCTCTTGGGATTTCAGCCTGGCCCGGTGGGCAGCCTGGGCTCATCTTTGGGCCTGTTTTCTATGCTGACTCTCCTGCGCAAGCAGACTGTTCTCGCCTTGTACCCCAGCTGGGATCAAGGGAAGCAGATCTTATTGTATGCAAAATATTCAGTGAAATGATGAAATATTTAATGAAACTAAGGTATTTAAACTGCAAAGTCAAGCTGTGGAATGTCAGAATGTACCGTAATGTGGGTGACCCCAATTTCTGTGTCTGTGAGCTGCCCGTGGCTCCTCTCAGGCCTCCCAAGGCACAGAGAATGGTGCTCAGTGTGAGGAGGGTGCAGCGGTGCATTGAGGTCAGGTCAGGAACCTGTGGCAGCTTGCTCCTGTCAGCCTTCCCCTGGGCACGTCACACATCCCCATGTGGGATTTGGGGTTTGCAGAAGGGTGGGAATACTTTGAGGCCATGTGGTGAGGGTAAAAATCCCTGCTTTGCTGCAGAGGTTGACAGAACAGGTCTGGCTCATTCTCCCAGCACACAGGCCTTTGGAGTGGCAGGTGGCTTGCCCTGACACCTCGGCAGGTGACCAGGCACACTTTGCAGATCAGGAGATGCTGCGGCACCCAGGCAGACACGGAGCCAGCATCGGAGCCCAGGCGGGTGAGTGGGGCTGTGCGGGGCTGCTGGGCCTTGGCACACATCAGGGGGTCCCGGTCTCTGTCCTTACGTGGCCCTCGGTGGCTCTTTATCTCCATCTCTCATCTGGAATAATGTGCTCGTGTAATGGCAGCTTTTCAGAACTACATTTATTGATGCCAGTGCAGCAGGAGCTGTGAGGAGATGAATTGCTCCTTGCTCTGCCAGGGCTGTCAGGAAGCAGGAGCTGCATGTTAACGGGGTGAGAACAGCTGCCTCATCCTTTCCTGCATCCTCTACCGAGGGCAGTGGGTAGTTCTGTGCCTGTCACGGGCAGGTGTCCCCACACAGAGCGTCCTGTCAGCTCCTGGGGAGGCACCTCCAGAGCCAGGATGGGGAGCTGGGCAGCGTCACAGCGCATCTCTGATCCACAGCACAGCTGTCTGCCATCCATCCATGCCCCAGCCCTGAGGCATGCTGGTGCCTCCCTGCCCGGAGCTCCATCCCTGCTGCTGGGGATGCTCAGAACCCTGCCCAGAGGTGTGGTGAATTTGCACAGCCTCAGCTCGTCCTCTTTTGGCAGCCGGGGGGAAAAGAGGAAGAGAGGAGGGCCCCCAGCCGTCCCCACTGCCCTCCCCAGCCCCATCTGTCTCCCTCCTTTCTTTTCTTACAAAAATATTATTAAAATGAAACCGGCCCCGAGGCGCAGCCCGGCGCCGCGCAGCCGTGGGCTTTGGGACCCTGGAGCCGGGCTGCGGCGGAGGGCGGCAGGTGCCGGGGCTGCGGCGCGGGGCTGTGGGGGCACGGCGGCCGGTCGGGACCGGGGCGCAGCGGAGCCCTGCCCGCGGGGCGGGGGTGGAGGCGGGGGGAGGCGTTTGCGGCTCAATAACGCCCAGGAGAAGTTGCGAGCGGCGAAGAGAGACAGAGAAGGGGAAAAAACACCCCGACACTCACCCGCCCCATCCCTCCTGCAGCTCCGCTTCCTGCCCAGCCCAGCTCGCTGCAGCGTGACCGCTCCGCTCCTCTCCATCTCCGGCACCCCGGGCACCCCGGGCCCGGCGGCAGCGCCATGGGCAACGCGGCCGGGGGCATGGAGGGGGCTGCGGCCAGAGAGAACCGAGACCCCCGGGCTCCGGGCCCCGCCGCCGCCGCCGCCGCCGCCGCCACCCCACCGCGGCCGCCGCCGCCCGCCCGGCAGCCCATGCCCTCCGCGGACGAGCTTGAGGAGCGCTTCAGCCGCGTCCTGGTGAGTCCTGGAGAAGCCGCAGTCCTGGCCGGGCTTTGCTCTGCTTTTTTTTTTTTTTTTTCCCCTCCTTTCCCATCCCCGCGGCGTGGGCCGTCTCCTCCCGTTGCTCACGGGAACTGCCGGCGGGATGCCCCGATCTCCGTGCTGCCCGCTCGGGTGATGCTGTCCTCGGCCCCGGGGATGCTCTGCATCCGCAAGGATGGGGCTGAGGAGCCGGCGGCAGGCCCGGAGCTGGCAGCGCGTAGCCGGCGAGCAGTGCCAGCCGTGCACGCTGCAGCGAGCCGGTGCTACAGATACCAACCTGCTTCGCTCACCTCCTCCCCTGCTCCTCTACGGCACATCCCGGCACCGCTCTCCCTCACCCTCTCCCCCTCCCTCTCTCCATCTCAGCGCCGGGGTGAGAACTGGGCAGATCAGCCCCAGCCTCGCTGCGTGGTCTGTTGCAAACCCCGGCTCCCCTGTGCCGTGGGGCGATTCCCCCCCTCCTGCAGCCCCACAGCCCCATGAGGCGCTCGGGTAGGCAGAGCAGAAGGAGGTGAGCTGAGTGCAGGGCACCGGCAACGCTGGATTGAGCTGCTGGCAGCTCCTCTCTGTCCTTGGGAGGGGAAGGATGGCCGTGACCTTCGCTGTACAGCTGTGCTGGACGCCGTCCCCGTGCCTGCGCCTTCCCCCGCACGCAGCGATGTGGCCTTTCCTCGCTCTGCAGCTCCGGAGCGGGAGGCGAGAGCAGCGCGACTCTCCCTCTCCGCAAAGCCCCGCACGTGGGGAGCTGGGGCACGCTCTGAAGGTCGTGCTCCCGTCTGTCCTCACTCACCAAAAAGCTCTACGGCAAAGTCAGGTCGGCAATGCACCGAGAGCAGGGAAACACTTTCTGCGTTCATATTTGCTGCTTTAATCCCCTTATCCCCTGCAGCGAGCCCATGCGCTCACCTGAAGCGGTGCAGGAGCAGCTGCCTGGCTCTGGCTGCGGGCTCAGCTCCGGCGGCTGCCGTTACACAACGAGGGCCGGAGCAGCACCGGCGCCGTGACCTGAGATGCTCCGCGGTGTGTGTGGCCCCGCGGCAGGCAGGACCCGCCGGCCCGGCCCAGCACAGATTATTTACAGGCTTTTCCGCCGTGCAGCAATTACGGGAGGATTATGGGGACAGGCATCGCAGCTGAAGTGTCTGCTTTGCCTGCAGACACGGGCTGTGACTCCTCTGCATCTGTTTTGGGTTGCTGTCAATGCAGAGGGATCACAAAGGGCTCTGCAACGCAGGGTCTGGGTGGTGCTCCTGGGACCCCCGGGACGGGGCTTTGCTGTAACTTGCTGTGTGCTTTGGGTGCAGACTGCAGGGTGAGGTTCAGATTGCGGCTGTGCCTGTAATGGCTCTGGGGTGACGCGTGCGGTGCTTTCAGGAAGGGGATGGGGATCTTGAGGTGCTTCAGCTGCGATTGCGAGGCCTCAGGAAACGCCGCTTTCCGCTGGTGAGATGGGGCCTAGGTGTGCTCCAAGGGGCTCAAAGGCCTAAACTGAGAAGTGATCAAAAAGGGCAAAGTGGAGATCCAAAGTCTCTCCCAGCCCTCCTGGGTCCCTGGCAGGGAGCTGCTGGGAGGAGCGCGCAGCTTTCAGCAACACGGGAACCAGGCTTCTTGTGAAACTGGCTGTCCCAATCTCTCTTCCTCCTTTCACAGAGGCTCCCTTCCCCCTCCTTCCATCCCACTCAGGGCAGGGGGAGCAGCAGGACCCCCACAACTCAGGAACAAAGGACCTTCAGTCACACCAACTGCCTCCCCCTGTCTGGTTTCAGGTGCAGGGTAAGTCCCTGCATAACCCTGCAGCAAGTTCTCCCCATGCTGGCTTTGCTGTGGTCGCAGCCAGCCACCTCCAGCCAGGGCATTGCTGAGATGTCACTGCAGGCGCTGGAGATGTTGGGCCCCTGAGGGACACTTGGTGGCTGTTCAGGCTCTCTCATATACCTCCCATATACCAACTGTATTTTTAATCACCTCTACAAACTCTTGGTGTTAATGGATTCACTTCTTTACTTCTAAGGCTGTGGCATTAGCAGTAAGGTGCGAAGTGGTGTGCTGGTGATCCATCTGTGCTATTGCTGGGACACGACCTGGGTCCGTCACAGAGCCTTGGGGACAGCAGTGCCATAGCAGGACTGCTGCATCCTGGTCTTGTGAGAGCACATCGGTGCAAATCAGTTTCTGGGCAGGCATCCCAAACTGGGAGAGCTACTGGGAGAAAGCCAGGTTGAAAGTCAGCCCAGGGCTGTCAGGCCAGCAGCGAGGTCTTGGGGGTCCCAACTGCCACCGTGTGCTCAGAAATTGGAAATTCTGTATTAGTGCAGAAATTCTGGCTTGTTCCCAGCTAGGGCACCGTGACAGATGCTGCATTGGCAGAGGGATGGCAGGGCTGTTTCTGTGCCAAGCAATTTGGGAAGCACTGGTGTGGCTGTGGAGTTAGGCGATATGGGGTCAAGAGGAGGAAGGAGTCGGTCCCTGGCTGCTGGGCCAGGGGTGTGTAGGTGTGTGTGTTCAGGGCAGTGTTGTTCTTCCCCTTGACATATCAAGAAGCAAACAAAGGTCCAGGGAGGGCTTAAATGAAGCAGTGAGATGAGGGTGTGGTGGAGGTGAACCACAGCTGGGCTGCCTGAGCATCCAGAAATAGCTGCGAGGGCTCTCAGATGGGGACGGTGCTGGTTCTGCTGGGAGATTTTGCTGCTGAGCCGTGGCAGCTCCCTGCTCAGCTGGTCACGAGAGCTTTGCTTTGGCCCCTCTGAGGACCCGGAAGAGAGATCAGCCACATCCGAAGGGGCAGAGACCTGAAAACTCTCTGAGCCCTCGAGGATCCGGGTGGCAGATTCCCCCAGAGCCCTTGTTTAGCTGCTGGTATCACCTAAAATCTGCAAATGCTCTGTGAAATCAGGGCAGCCTGTAGGGCAGAGATGGAAACCGGGAGACCTCAGAAACTTCACGTTGCTGAAGAATCATGGCGTGCCGCGGGGCCCCGCGGGGCCGGGAGCCACTGGTGTGCGTTTGCAGTTGTCCTGGGGAGCCAGCAAACGTCACCCTGCAGATGTTTGCAGATGGACCGCCGGCCGGAGCGCGGCGCTGGGGTCAGACACACAGTGAGCCTCAGTTGCAGCCGTGCTGTGTGCTGGGGGATCTCACCCAGGAAAGGCAAACGGTGCTCTGCTTCCTGCTGGATCCATCCCCAGCCTGGTCCCCGTACAGCACAGCAGCATGAGGGATGGTGCCATGCTGTCAGGGCTCCTGTGCAGCTCTGCTGATGTCCCCAGTGTCCCCATGCAGGGACGTTTGGCCGCGCAGCTCGGTGATGGGGAGGAAGCCTGTGTTGAGTGTCTGGCTCAGCCCTTGGCTGAATCCGGAGGGCATCCTGATGTGGGGATCCCCCTCCATTGTGGCACCAGGCGGACACTCGGTGGGGAGGTGAGTGTGGCTGACAAGTCTCATTTCCCCGCCTGTGCTCAGAGCAGCTTCTGCTTGTGCTTAAAATAGAGCCGGGAGCAGCAGGCAGCAGGGAGGCTTTGGCCGCAGCTGCGTGGTAGCAGTGCCTGTCCCTTAGCAACTCCTTACCCTCCTTTGGGGTGGGCTCTGGCCCTTGGTGGGGTGCTGCCTGCTTCCCCACCAGCTTTTCCCCTCTGACACCTGGCAGGTTTGAGAGCTGGCCATGGGACTCCCTCGCAGGGTGAGGTGCTCCTGGGAGTGCTGCCCAGCCCCAGTAGCTGTGTGCTGGGGTTTGGGAGAGCTCAGGCTGCCCCGGTACCTGGCACTGAGCCTTGGGAAGAGGTTGTGGCCCCCTGTGCCGCGTCAGCGTAGCAAGGAGAGATGTGCTTGCTGGAGCAGGATGGGGCTGGTGCCTCTCACTGGGGGGCAGTGTAGGAAGAGCTGTGCCACAGAGCGGGCGTGCCCCAAGCCCTGCCTGGCAGGAGCATCACCTTCACAGCATCACCACAAGGGTTGGAGTATCCTGGGACTGGCACATCCCGTTGGCTGCCAGCCCACCTTTCTGCTGTCATCACTCTTCCCTGTGGCCTGCAGCTGGGTGCTGTCCTGTCGCTGCTGCCCGGCATCTAGGCCTTTACACTGGGCTGGGAGCAGCTTCCCATTGCTGCTGTGTGGCTCTGCGTCTGCCATGTGCCCTGACACTGCTGCTCACACAGATCTGCACGTGAGCCTCCAGCTCTCAGCCCCACGCGCTGCCCCTCTCTCCCCACAGCCCCGTGCAGGTCGGGAAACCACAGAAGATGCCTCAGCAGCTCAGCCAGGATCCCTAAGCAACGGGCGTCTTGTTTCAGTCTGGGTTTCACTCGAGCTGTCCGGGCAGCCAACCAGCAATGGCAGCACTGCGCGTGTTTTGCAGAGCTAACACTTCCGTGGTGGATGCTTTCAATTTTCTCTCAGAGTGTAGAGACTGGCCCTGCTTGAAGCTGCTCGGGGTGTGGAATAAAAAGAGAGTGCCTGACACCCAGAACCCCTCAGCCTGCCCAGCAGGGTTCCTCTGCGTGGCCTCATGCTGCTGCTGTACAACCAGAAGTCCTTTTCATAGTGGGAAATGATGTAGGTGCTGCCTCCCCCTGTCTGGTTTCAGGTGCAGGGTAAGTCCCTGCATAACCCTGCAGCAAGTTCTCCCCATGCTGGCTTTGCTGTGGTGAGGGTCGCAGCCAGCCACCTCCAGCCAGGGCATTGCTGAGATGTCACTGCAGGCGCTGGAGATGTTGGGCCCCTGAGGGACACTTGCTGGCATCTGTTCAGGCTGCCAGGAGCACGGCAGGCAGCAGTGCTGCTCAGCAGCTGTGTCTGCCCTCGTGGGCTGTGCAGCCTGCTGGGGGTGCACCCCATGGCACAGTGGGATGGAGATGGGCTTGACAGTGGGTGCTGGGTGGGATGAGGTTGCCAGTCTGGGATATGATTGCTGGGGTAAGTCCCCTTGTCCCCTCCATCCTTGTCCTCACCATCCCTATCACCCAAGGAGGAGCGCTGAATCCTGCCTTTGCCACCTGCAAGGTCTCCTTGCATCACATCTCCCGCTCTGCCCCACGCCCCCAGCAGCACCAGGGCCTCCATCAAGAAGTGAGAACCAGCTTCTTTGTGCTCCTGGCTGACGCCACGGACCACAGCAGAGTGTCCTGGGTAGGAGGCCACTTCCTTCCCCTGCACCACGTGCCTCTGTGGGGAAGGCATCCGCCACCCTGTTTGTAACCCAGACAGTGCCACATCCTGCCCCCGGGCCCAGCCCTGCTTTGTGAGGAGGGGCTGTGCCCTCACTGGGGACAGGAGGGGTTGGTGACAGAGCCCAGCATGGCCACCTCTGTAGGGACATCTCTGACATCCCACTCTGCCTGCATTCTTGGGGCAGGGAGTCCATGCAAGGCCATGTCCTATCAGTGAGGTTTGTTCTTGGCTTTTCAGAGCTTCACAGCTGGTAAAATCAGGCCCTGCTGGTTTAATTTTTGGATTGTCTTGGGCGAAGCCAGGATTTGCATTCAGTGATCTCTGTGGGTCCCTTCCAGCTCAGGACATTCTATGTTCAGCCTTTGGAACAGTCCAGTGCAAAGCTTATACATGTGCTGTGGGCTTGGGGTCTGCAGGCTCCCATCTGTTCACATAAACAGGGGAATCTATGAGGACAGGGCTCCCCAGCAGGAGGAGCACTGGGGGTGTCAGTCACCCACGGCAGGTCCTGTGCAGCAACCTGGGCTGTGTCACTGCCATGCCTTCCCAGGGCCCATCTGGCCACTCTGATGCAGCCTGGTGGCCTCGCAGTGAGGCTGTTTGTGGCCTCGCTGCATAATTTTGGTGTTGGTGCTGAGCTCACCTGCTGTGGACAGGTGGGGGGGAGCAGCTGGCTCCAGGCAGCCTGGCCAAATCCAGCCAAACGCCGGCTTGACATGGTGGCCTGGGTCTCCAGGCAGCTCGGTGGCCATGGCTTCGGCCTCTGTGCAGGCTCCTTCCTTCCCCCATCACCCGGTTTGGTTTGTTGCAAAAGCAGCCCAACAGGTCATTGGTGGGAGATGGGCGCTGAGGTTTCCGGTCCTTCCTGGCGTGCTGGCGCTTCTCCTCTTTCATGGGCTCCTCTGTGGCTGCCTGCATCCCTCCCTGATTGGCTCAAATCCTGGCCAAACCCTTGTGGGATTCCCCAGGGATGTGGGTGTCCCAAGGGCTGCGCCCACTGGTGACTGCATCTTACAGCCCTGCGTTGGGGTAGCCCAAAACTGGAGGTTAAGCTGACTCAACGGGGTTGGATCTGTGCACTGTCTCCATGTGCCGTCGCTCTGTCTTGCCAGGCCATGGCTTTTCCAGGCTCTGCTCCTGCTTTCCTTGGGGCTGAATCTCCGAAAAATTCCTCTTTTGGGAAATCAAATCTCAGACCTTTTAAACTTGAGGCATGTGTGCCGTGCCGGAGGCACAGTGGAGGTCCCCCGAGGCTCTGCAGGTCACCCCGCAGTGTCCCCACACCCCTGAGACGCGCTGGCACTCTGCACTTTGGTGCCCTGCAGGCGGGAGCTGAGCCTGGGGTGTCCCAGGGCCCCCAGACTTGGTGAGCAGCAGTTTTGGTGGCTGCCTCTTGCCATTTGGGGAGCGGAAACCACGTCACGTCCTGCGCGGGCGACTGCGGTGGTGGAGAGGCTGCTGGGTGGGGAGGCGGCGCGGCTGCGTTGTGCAACGCTGGCACGAAGGGACGTGGTGACATGCAGCACCCTGCCCTCAGATCGTGTCCACAAATAAACACTGATTTCACCATCTGCGCCTGTTGTGTGCCTGCGGCAGGGCTCCGGGCCATCCGTCACCCTCAGGCCGTGGAGGCTCAGCCCCGTCCCCAGCCTGGGTCACCACTCAAGGTGGTGGTGCTGCTGGACTCGGATCCAGGATGGCTGAGGCCGAGAGTTTTGCGCCCTTCTGATGTGGAGGGGCGACTTCAATTCCCCCCAGCACCTCCTGTCCCCCAGCTCCTGTGCCCTCTGCAGTGGGGATCCCAGACACCCTTGGACAGGGAACGTTGCCGATGGGTCTGTGATGCCTGATGGTGACATGAACGCATCCTGGGGATGGCAATGTCCCCATGGTCCCACCAGCAAACAGAGGCACTGGGTGCTGAATGAATGGGGAGCACCACGTGCCCAGAGGGGACTCTGGGGACAGCCGTGCCCCTGACACCTGTCTCCCCACAGAGCTCCATGAACCTGCCCCCGGACAAGATGAAGCTGCTCAGCCAGTACGACAATGAGAAGAAGTGGGAACTTGTCTGTGACCAGGTGAGGTCTGAGTGCTGCGTGGCACCTTGCTGGCCCTGCTCCTGGCCGTGTCCCCAGATGCCACTCACAGTTGGTGGCTGCTGGTACATGAGGCTGAAGCGGTGGATCCGAGTGCTGGCATCCATCTCCATTAGTGAGACAGCAGCTTATTAACCTGATTAAACATTTATGGGCGGCCATCTGCAGTACAGGGAGTGGGTGGCTGCTGTGCTTCTGGGCAGCGCTGGGAGCTGGGACATTTCCCCATGCTGCATGCAGATGTCCTGGCTTCAGCCTCTCTGTGTGGTTTGTAGGAGCGTTTCCAGGTGAAAAACCCGCCGTCTGCCTACATCCAGAAGTTGAAGAGCTACTTGGACACGGGCGGTGTGAGCAGGAAGGTGAGGGCTGCCTTACACCTTGTGAGTCTGCCTTTGTTCCCCTGTGCTGGTCACCAGCCTAGTAACCCTTCGGCTGTCCCTGTTCCCTCAGTTCAAGCGGCGAGTGCAGGAGTCAACACAGGTGCTCCGGGAGCTGGAGATTTCCTTGAGGACCAACTACATTGGGTAAGGAGTGGGGATCATGGACATCATGGGGCAGAGGCTCACGTGCTGGTGGCTTCTGGCTGTGGGGGTGACAGTGCGATGTGGAGGCACAGGTAGAGTCTGGTAGCCTCATCCTGCATGTCTGGGAGGACTCTGATGAGAGGATGGAGGTGCTGAGGCAGCAGCCAGCGGTGCTCCAACTGCTGCAGAACCCAGTTCCCATTTTGGCCATGCCAGTTCATTGCCGCCTATGGGACCCTGCCCCCCACACTGGGTGCCCTGGTTCCTCATGGCAGGAGGGTTGCCTGTGTTCTTATCTGGGCATGGGGACCTGCTGCTGCTGGGCTGTTCCTTAGGGGTGGCAGCAGAGCCCATGGGCTGTGTCCCTTGCAGGTCAGGCACTGGGATTTTGTGACACACACCTGTCCTGAAGAGATGGCACGTGGTGCCATGCCCCCTGCATGTCCTAACATAATGTCTGGGGACATCTGGCCAGGGTGTGCCTAGGTGCCTTCCCCACCCTCTGCTGAGGATGTAGAAGGGGAGGTGGGAGGTAGAGAAGGGTTGGAATACCCCACTAACCTCTCTTCTCCCCAGCTGGGTCCAGGAGTTTCTCAACGAGGAGAACAAGGGGCTGGACGTGCTGCTGGAGTACCTCGCCTTTGCCCAGTGCTCTGTCGCGTACGTCCCCGCTGCCACTGGCATTCCAGCCGCCCCTTTCCCCCTGATCCCCTGCCCTGATGCTCTGTCACTGGGCTGGGGTCAGGCTCAGAGGGGCTGGGCGGGCTTGGGGGGCTCTGAACAGCCCACGTTCACAGCCCTTGGTGTCCCCATGTGTCTGCTGGCATTGACGTTGCTCCTTGCCCGTCTGTCCCTCCCCCCTGTGGGCCACCAGGTATGACATGGAGAGCACTGAGAATGGCAGCCCGGGCTCTGAAAAGGGCAAACCCCTGGAGCGGTCAGTTGAGGACCTGAGCAAAAGCAACTCCTCATCTCCCACACACGGCATCTCCAAAGTGCGGCACCTCACCGTCAGGTAACATGCAGCACCCCAGCACCGGACCCCACTCTGCCTCGCTGCCCCCCAGCCCGCCATGCCGTGCTGTGCCAGCTCTGAGGGGCTCGGCAGGGAGATGCAGTCCTGGTCCTAAAAATGGATTCCCATCACTGCGTGGGGGACTGAGGAGGGACAAAGCCACGTGTGCTCCCAGCAGTGATAAACCCTGCTAGGAGGCAGGGCAGAAGCACGATTGGATCCATTCTCAGCATAGCTCCCTGCTGTGAGATGCTCTGGCCAAAAGCAGGAGCGGGGTGATCTGTGAATGAGCAAAATCAGAGCTGCTTGAGATTTGGGGAAGCAAATCCCCAACCCACTGCTTCATCGGGCTTGGGAGGGTTTAAAAGCGCGAGGGTTTGAACGTGACCAGGCCTGCGCCCTCTGAGCGGGCCCAGCCGGCTGGCAGCTCTCGCTCGCTAACCCTGCAGCCCTCTTCTAACCCCGCTCTTCTCTTGCACGCTGCCGGGGGATGTGCTCACGGTAGGTGACGGGGCCGGGGTGCTGGTGTGGCAGATGCCACAGTGGGGCTGTGCAGACCCCCCTGACTCACTGCTGGCTCTGGTGTGGGGACAATCCCTGCAGTTGTCCCCAGTAGTCAGGGCGGTGTGAGGGGACACCCAGCTGTGGCCGTCCTGGGAAGGGAGACAGCTGTCATAGCGTGGCTGGGGGCTCCCTGAGGACCGCAGGGCCTCTCGCCACCTGCCAGCACCTCCGGAGGAGCCGGTGTGTCCCCAACCCCAGGGACAGGTCAGGAGCGATGGCTCGGATGTGGCACCCGCGGGGTCCCAGCCCTTTGTCACTCACCATGCCTCAGCCTGGTCACAGGCTTAGAACGGCAGCACTTTGGTGCTTGATGCCAGCCTCTGCGAGCGGCAGCAGCCACCCTGCTTGCTCCTCACCTGTGTTCCCCTGGCCCCCAGCTCTGTGCCCCAGCCACCCCATGGGCCGCGCGGGAGCCCTGTTTCTCCCTCCTGTCTGCAGGCTCTAACCTGCCTCCAGCTGCTGCCTCTCGAACCAGCACATCCACACCCTCCTCCACCACGTCCACCCCAGCGTCCCCTGCAGCGCCCCGGGCAGCGATGGGGACAGTTGCCCCAGGTCACCTGGCAGCTCCTATTCGCCCCGGTGAGCCTCCAAGACCACCCATGCACGAAGGGCCCCTGGCCTTCCTGCCACCTTGGCCCCACCATGGCCCACTCCTGGTGCCAAGAACCCCTCGGGCTTGCAGATGGGAATGGCCACTGAGCCAGACATGGGGTCTCCCTCCTTTTGGGATGCAACTGGCTTGGTTTCTGGGTTTCTGCTGCTGGCTGGTGAGCCCAGGCCCACCAAGGCCACTGCCTGATCCCTTTGGCCGCCCACCCCTGCGCTGCCCCTACCCTGCTTGCGCTGTGCCCCCCAGCTGCCCCCGGCTGCCCCCTGCTCAGCTGCCTTCTTGCCTGGCAGGCTCAACCCCTCGCACAGCAGGAAGGCACTGAGGAATTCTCGCATCGTCAACCAGAAGGATGATGTCCATGTCTGCATCATGTGTCTCCGTGCCATCATGAACTACCAGGTGGGCACTGGCAGCATGCTCAGGGATCCCTGAGGGCCCCCAAAAGCTTCCGGCCCCTGTGCTGCCCTCTTCAGGGCACTGGGATGGATGAGGAGGAGGAGTACACGTCCTCTGTCCCCAAGCCCTAATGGCATAGGGACACCCAGTCTTTGCACTCAAACGTCCTCACTCAGTGGGACCATGGCAGGGACGTGTCACAGGATCCTTGGCGTCCTTGAGGTGGGCCAGAGGATGCCTGACCTCATTCATAATCCTTTTCCCCCCAGTCTGGCTTCAGCCTGGTGATGAACCACCCAGCCTGTGTCAACGAGATCACCCTGAGCCTCAACAACAGGAATGCCAGGTAGGATCTGTCCCCTGTCCCCTCACACACCCCACAGCCCTGGTTCATTCCTGTGTCCCCACAGGACAAAGGCGCTCGTGCTGGAGCTGCTGGCTGCTGTCTGCCTGGTCCGAGGTGGCCATGACATTATCCTCGCTGCTTTTGACAACTTCAAGGAGGTGAGTCTCCAGCAGGGATACAGTGTCTCCATGATGACACCTGTGCTTTTGCCTCAGTTTCCTTTAGTGCAGCAGAGCCCTGCCCCATTGGAACACCCTTGATCCTAAAAATTCCCATCTCCTAACTCATTTGAGGCCACTTGAACTGTTGGGATCGATGTTCCCATGCCAGCACTTGTCTCCAGGGCCACGTCCCAGCTGGACCATGGCACTGAGCAGCACCCAGCAGGGCTGGAGAGGCCTTGCCAGTGGCACGTGCTGCCCTGACACCCCCAGAGTTGCCCACTCTGTCCCTGCCCTTCCCAGCCCTCAGCCCCTGCTCCCATTCCAGGTCTGTGGTGAGAAGAACCGCTTTGAGAAACTGATGGAGTATTTCCGAAACGAGGACAGCAACATCGACTTCATGGTGAGTGTTCGTAAGGCAGGGCACCCACAGCCTGAGGACCTGCAGCCTCCCGCCTTCAGGGCAGCTCCCATGGTCCACCACTTGGCCGTGTCTCCAGATATGGGGCTGTCCCCACTGTGCTGTGTCCCGAGGAGCTGCTGGTCCCCTCCCCAGGGTCCCAAGGACAGTCAGACGGGGCTGTGCTGTCCCCAGGGTGTTGTGTCTCCGAGCCAGCATGCCATTCTGTGCCTGTGAGCCACTGAGCCACATCAGTGCCCCCAGACTGTTGTGTCCCCAAGGGCTGCTGAGCAGCTGGCTGTTTCCCAGCTCCCCAAGACAGTGAAGCCACCGCGCAGCCCACAGGGAACCGTGTCCCCAGGGCCACCATGCTGTGCCCGGGGCCGTGCTGAGCCTGCTCCCATCCTGCAGGTCGCCTGCATGCAGTTCATCAACATCGTGGTGCACTCGGTGGAGAACATGAACTTCCGTGTCTTCCTGCAGTACGAGTTCACCCACCTGGGGCTCGACCAGTACCTGGAGGTGGGTGGTGCTGCACTTCCCCAAGACCCTCCATGATCCTGGTGGTGGGATGGGAGCGGGTGGATGTGGTTGTCACCGGCTGTGACGGTGCCACCGGCCGTCCCACGGCAGAGCCTGCGTCTCACCGAGAGCGACAAGCTGCAGGTACAGATCCAAGCCTACCTGGACAACGTCTTTGATGTGGGGGCCATGCTGGAGGACTCAGAGACCAAGACGGCCGTGCTGGAGCACATGGAGGAGCTGGAGGAGCACGTCAGCCAGGTGGGACGTGGGCGCGGGGGCCGGAGCTGCTGACGCAAACCCCGCTTGGGGCGGGTGGCGGCCGCGGCTGAGTGACGGTGCCTCATCCCTCATCCCACACAGCTGACGGAGAAGCTGCAGGATGCGGAGAACGACTCCATGGCCAAGATAGCGGAGCTGGAGAAGCAGCTGAGCCAGGCGCGGCGAGAGCTGGAGGCGCTGCGGGTGAGCGCCCGTGGGTGCTGCGGTGCTGCCGTGCACGGGGAGCCTCGTTTGGGATGCGAGGGGGACATTGGTGACACGCTGGGTTTTGTCCCTGCTGCAGGAACAGCTCAGCCCGCCGCGGCCGCCCAGCCCGCCAACCCCGCAGCCACAGGAGTGCTACCGGCTGGCGCTGGAGCGGCGGCTGGCGGAGCTGGAGGAGAAGGGGTTAGTGCAGATCCTGCGTGGGCCCGATGGAGACGTCGCCATCGAAATTGTCCCCGTCGTCATAGAAACTACAGCAGCCCCCGTGGTAACCGGAGAGGCCACCGCCACCAGCACAGGTACTACGGGTGCAGGGAAATGGTGGCTGCCTGCCGTGTCCCCGATGTCCCTTTCATGTTTGAGACGGGTGGCACGGAGGAGGAGTATCAGCGTATTTGGGACGCAGCAAAGGTCACTGAGGTGGGGGGTGCGGGGATGTGCCCAGGGATGTGAGATCACCCGGTGGCAGTGGATCTTGGCAGTGGCCCCGTGCCCTGCTGTAGCGTCGACTCACCCACTTCTTTCTGTTTGCAGATACTCCGGCTCCAGCTCCATCTCCTGCCCCAGCACCCGCTGCCCCACCACCACCCTCACCGCCACCCCCCCCGCCGCTGCCTGGGGCTGAGCCTGGCCCCCCCGTACCCCCTGCCCCCCCACTGCCCACAGGCATCATGCCCCCCCCAGCCCCTCCACTGCCAGGTGCCCAGGTACCCCCACCACCCCCACCGCTCCCTGGGGGCCCGGAGGGCCCTGTGCCACCGCCACCCCCACCGCTCAGTGGGCAGCCCCACGCTGGGCCAGGTGCCCCTCCCACTGCCAACGGTTCAGGTGAGTTGGTCCTGGGAATGCTGGGATGTTTCTGTGAGCATGCGGTGGGGCTTGGCCCCTCAGTGACACTGCCCTGCTCACCCTGCAGTGAAGGTGAAGAAGCCGATCCAGACCAAGTTTCGCATGCCTGTGTTTAACTGGGTTGCACTGAAACCGAGCCAGATCGACGGCACCGTCTTCACCGAGCTCAACGATGAGAAAGTGCTGCAGGTGAGGCCGTGTGGGCAGGGGGGGTTGGGAGGAGGGGCTCAGCATGGCTGGCACCCCAGTCCTTGCTGCAGCCGCACTGACGTTACCCCGTGCACCCGCATTGCGGCCGTGCTGGCTTTGAACTTGCGCCCACGTGGCACCCATCTGTGTCACTGCCTCACGGGGCTGCAGCCTCAGAGGAGATGGAGGTCAGCATGACAGAAGGAAGCAACATGGGGCCTATGCTGTCGTCTTCCTGTTGCCCCTCCTTGTCTCCTCGCTCCATCTCATTCTGCCTACATCTTCTTCCTCATCTTCATCCTTTGCCTTTATCCCACTCCCCTCACTTTGTTCCCTTACCCCCTCATTATTCTCTTGTCTCTCCCTGTCCTCTTGTCCTATCCCTGTCCTGTCCTTGTCCCCTCTCCACCTCCTCATCCCCTCCCTCCATCCTCTTCCTTTTCCCTGTCCCACTTATCCTGTCACAGTCTTCTGGCCACAGCCCCGTCCCCTGTGTCCCACCACAGCCCCACCACTGCCCTCAGCCCTGTGTCCCCGCAGGAGCTGGACATGAGTGATTTTGAGGAGCAGTTCAAGACCAAAGCGCAGGGCCCCGGCCTGGACATCAGCACCCTAAAGGTGAAGGCCACACAGAAAGCCCCCAGCAAGGTCACGCTCATGGAGTCCAACAGGGCCAAGAACCTGGCCATCACACTCCGCAAAGGCGGCCGCAGCATCCAGGACATCTGCACGGCCATTGAGACGTGAGTGTCCCCTCCTCAGCGGGGTGAGGTCACACTGAGTGCTTGGGGTGGCGTGGGGCGGGCTGCGCTTCGGGGTGGTGGCGGTGGTGGGGTGCAGCCCGTTGTGCTGCAGGTACGACCAGCAGGCGCTGAGCCTCGACTTCCTGGAGCTGCTGCTGCGCTTCCTGCCCACTGAGTACGAGCGGACGCTCATTGGGAAGTTCGAGCGGGAGCAGCAGCCTGCGGAGGAGCTCTCGGAGGAGGACCAGTTCATGATCCGCTTCAGCAAGATCCCGCGCCTGGCCGAGCGCATGAACGTCATGATCTTCCTGGGCAACTTCAGCGACACGGCCCAGCTGCTCATGCCGGTGTGTGGGGCCGCGGGCGGCGCTGGGGGGGCTGCGAGGGGGCGGCATCCTGCGGTGAGACTCACGTGCTTCCCTCCCACCCACAGCAACTCAACGCCATCATCGCCGCCTCCATGTCCCTCAAGTCCTCCAGCAAGCTGCGCAACATCCTCGAGGTGAGGGGCGTGAGGGGCAGCCCCAGCGGGGGACCCTGGGGCACCGGGGGCTGCTGGGGTGCGATGCTGACTTGCCTGGGGTGTCTCCTCAGATCGTCCTGGCCTTTGGGAACTACATGAACAGCAGCAAGCGTGGGGCAGCCTATGGCTTCCGCCTGCAGAGCCTCGATGCGGTACGTTGGGTGCGGGTCTGGTGTGCAGGCAGTGTCACTGCACGGCGATGCACCGTGGGAACAGGGATGCAGTGACCTGCTGTGGGTGGGGGGACACGGGAAGCAGGCGTGGGGTGGAAGGGTGTGGGGAGCAGCTGTGGGGATAAAGGGCCTGGGAGCAGCTGTAGGGATGGAGAGATACAGAGCTAGCTGTGGGGACAGAGGGATACATTGGAGCAGGTATGGAGATGGAGGGAGGTGGGGACTGGCTGTGGGGTTTGGAGGAGTGTGAGAACTAACCATGGGGTTTGGAGGGATATAGAGAGCAGCTGTGGGGATGGAGGGGCACAAGGAACAGGTGTGGAGATGGAAGGGTGTGTGTGCACAGAAGGACATGGGAACCAGCTGTGAGCAACGAGGGCTACCCTGAGCAGGGAGCGTTGGGATGCAGGGCAGGGCTAACACTGCTCTCTCCCAGCTGCTGGAGATGAAATCAACAGACCGTAAGCAGACACTGCTGCATTACCTGGTGCGGGTGATCACAGAGAAGTACCCCGAGCTGACTGGCTTCCACACCGAGCTGCATTTCCTTGACAAGGCGGGCACAGGTAGCACCTGTGGGCATGGGGCTGGGGGCCATGGCGGGTGCAGCCCCCACCTGGGGACCGTCTCAGCCTGCCCTGACCCTAGACCTGGTTGCTGACCGCCCTCCCCGCAGTGTCCCTGGACGGCGTGTTGCAGGACGTGCGGAGCCTGCAGCAGGGCATGGAGCTCACCCGCAAGGAGTTCATGCGGCAGGACGACAGCCTCGTGCTCAAGGAGTTCCTCAAGGCCAACACGGAGCTGATGGAGAAGCTGCAGGCAGACAGCAAAACTGCCAAGGTGGGTGTTGGGCCCCCAGTCCTGTGTGGGGATGCCATGGGGCGCTCTCTGCTCACGACTGTGCCCCCTGGAGGGCTGCTGCCAGCCCCCAGCCCCCATATCTCTGTCTCTGCTCACAGGAGGCCTATGAGTCGGCCGTGGAATACTTTGGGGAGAACCCCAAGACCAGTCCCCCCACTACTTTCTTCCCCATGTTCATGCGCTTCATCAGAGCCTACAAGGTAAGAGGGAATGGGGATGTCCTGTTCCTGAGGGTTGGGAGGGGGCAAAGCCACAAGTGAGGCCAGGGGCTCGCTGGTCACAGGAACCCCAGCACTCGGAGTCATCCTTTGGGGCAGCTGCAGATCTCGGCTCCCTGAAGGTGCCAGGCTGGGCCACTGGGGACCACCAAGGAGAGGGAGGAGGGCACTGTGCTCCCCCAGCCCTGCAGCAGCCCCCAGCTCAGCGGGCCCTCCCTGTGCCTCTCCTCAGAAAGCAGAGCAGGACATCGAGCTGTGGAAGAAACAAGAGGCTGCGGCCAAGGAGGCAGAGTCCGGCCGCCCCGGCAATGAGGAGCAGCTCGACCTGAAGGTACCTGGTGCTGGAACAGGGCCCTGCAGCGTCGCTGCCCCAGCAAACCCCACTCAGCCACAGTCAGGAGGCAGCAGCCCGGATCTGTCTGTGCCCTCGTGGGGCGGCCTCACTGCACCCAGAGCACACTGCCTCTGGGAGAGAGCAAAAGGCTTCTTCCAGCTGGGCTGGGGGAGATGGGCAGCACGGGATGCACTGCTCACTCTGCTGCCCCCTCTGCAGTCACCATTCCAGAAAGCCAAGCGGCAGCAGATGGACATGATTGCTGAGCTGAAGAAGAAGCAGATGGTGAAGGAGCCGCTCATTTATGAAGGCAAAGACGGAGCCATCGAGGACATTATTTCAGGTGAGCGGCTGGGCATCCCCCCTGCACGCCTGGGGCTCAGGCCGTGCCAGCACAGGGCCCCCGAGGGCAGGACATCGGGTGGGCCACGGCTCATCACACAGTGGTGTTCTGGGCCCGGCCCCCAGCTCTGCAGTCTGTGGCACAACAGGGACAGCCTCAGGGATATGGGGGTGTCAGCAAGGAGCGGAGGGCCCTGAGCGCTATGCAGAGCCCAGGCCCACCTTCAGCACCTTCCTGTCGCACGCAGCGAAGCTGCCAACCTCTCTGCCCTGTCTCACGGCTCTTCCTCCTCTTCTGCTCCTTCTTCCTTTCCTCCTTCCTCCTTGCTGTCTCTGGATTGCTGTGCTCAGCTCTGAAAACTGTTCCTTTCACGGCCCGGACGGGCAAGCGCTCGTCCCGGCTCTTCTGCGATGTGAGCTTCAGCGAGGAGAGTCCCCTGTAGTGGCTGCCCGTAGGTAACGGGGCGAGGGGCGCAGGTGGGGGCTGCAGCATGGCGGATCTGCAGCGCTGGGTGCAGGCAGGGCTGGGAGCGGGGCTCACACAGCTGGATCCCGGCTCCTCTCCTTCCACCTGTGTGCTGCCGGTTGTGCCTCCGCCTCGTAGCCGGGGGTTGAGGGAAGGTTCCATCCCGCAGCTGTGGGTACCGCTGGGGCAGGCAGGACATGGCAGACTGCTGCTCACTGCCGCTCTGCGCTTTCTCCCGCTGCAGATCTGCGGAACAACCCGTACCGGCGTGCAGACAAGGGCCGCGGCAGCGCCAAGAAGCGGGCGGCGGGGCAGAGCCTGCAGGCCACGCCAGACATCTCGCTGTGAGGGGAACCGGGGCCTGGGATGGCACGGGGTGCGGAGCGGTGCCCATGCTCAGTGCCGGCCGCCCCGCTGCCCGCATGCCTTTGGGTCGGCCGGGGCTGCCCCGGCGCTTGCTTAGTGATGCTGCTGAGCTCTTCTCCAGTGGGCAGAGCGGGGAGTGACGGGAGCCGCTGCCCAGAGCTGCTTTGTTGCACTCCAGGCCTCGGGGGCAGCCCCGCGCACCGCTGTGCCCCTTCAGCCTGCTGGTGCCTTTGACCTCCTGCTGCTGGAGAGGAGGAGGAGGGCTGCCAGACGGGGCTGCAGCGCTGCCGGTGCCCCTTTCATCCCTGCGGAGCCCTTTGACACCGCGTTCTTCTCCGCTGCAGAGCCAGGCGGGCGCAGGCTGCGCCTCTCCAGCACGGAGCTGCTGCAAACATCCCACCCTGGGCGCGAGCCCCAGGAGCTGGCAGGGGTGCTATTTTACACTCACTTTCTACGTCTTCCTAAACATCTCTGTGCTGAGGGAGCAGGGCCTGGCGCTGCCGTGGGTTCCCACCGGGTGAGCGGCGCCAGCCCGCGGCTCCCAGCCCTGCTGCTGCTGCTCACAGCCGTGCCCCACACCACTCAGCTGCCCCCTGCTCCCTTCCCCGCGGTCGCTGCCCACATCCTGGCCCCCCAGGAAAGCTGCAGGCAGCGCAGCTCCCCGCTGTAACTACGCTGCTCAGCGCCACGCACCGCTCCGAGGGAGGGATGGGAAATGAATGTGTAACTTATAAATGCCTTTAAGCCAGAATGTAAAACATTAACTGCTCATTTGTATACATTATTATTTTTATATACCGAGGGCCTGTTAAAGCAGAACTGGTAATAAACCGACCCCGAGGGTGAAGCGGTGTCTGCGGGACGGGCTGAGCTGTGTGCTGGGAGCGCAGTCACGCAACCAGGCCGCAGCGCCCTCTCCTCGCTCTCTGGGACAGCACACCAATGAAAACCAGTAGTCTGCCTTTCTTTTCTTCATCCCTGGCTTTTATTTTTTTCCCCCATGAAGCTGCAGGTGAAACGTTGGTTTCCAGAAACAGCAGCTTGATAAAGTGTCACACGCGCAGTAGAACCAGCGCTGCCCTCAGCCCCGCGCCGCTGTGCCAAAGCTGGGGCTTTTCCAAGGGCTGCAGGAAGGACAAAAGCATCGTGTGCTGCTGCTCCGCTGGGCTGAGCTCGGGCCTACAGCCTGACCGTGTTCTCATGCACGGATTCAAGCAGACGTTAGCATGGATAACAAAAACCTTCCCTGAGCGTCAGCACCACATGGCCCTCCTGGAAGTGGCATTTTTCAGCCTGCCGCAGCAAAACCAACCACAGCAACAGGAAGGCAGACTGGCAGCAGGAGAGAAGAGAGCCCACGGGGCAGGCAGCACAGCCTTAAAGCCGCATGGATCAGCCCCTGCGTGGGCACAGTAGGAAAACACCACAGCTTTGTGCCAGGGGCTGCTGCAGAACCACGCAGGGTTTGGGGGAAAGGAGCAGGACGGAGGGGTGGCGATGCTGTGTGGGGACAGGAGGACGCCCACAAACCCCCCATCCCAGCTTCACACCAGACTGCTGTGCACCCGCAGCCCTCAGAGCAGCATTAATGCTGAAGGTGAAGTGTAAAGCCCTGCAGTCTGCGCTCAGAAATGCATCATGTTTTAGTAGGACGCTTCCTCCAGCTGGGAGCCCGAAGTGCTTCAGAACAGAAAAGTGCTAAAAGAAATCATACCCACGGAGGGGACGGGTTTAAGTTTTCTTCAAGAGTTCCGCTTCCCTACTGCATCACAGCTGTACGGTTCTGGTTAAGGACAACACTGCCACGTGTGGTGGGAGCCAAGGAGAGCAGCTACGGGGCACTGCTCCTCAAAGCAAAGGTCCAGAGCTGAACTTTTTTGGGCTGTTTTAAGTGAATTTCCCTTCAATGGCCCCACCTCGCTGTGTCTCCCAGACAGCCTGGATCGGGCCCACCTGTTACCAAAGGGAGAGCAGCACCTGCCCACTCAAATTCAGCACACGCAGTTTCAATATACTACAAAAAAGAAATGCACAGATCAGTAAAAAAGTTCACCAGAAATTAAGGCACAAAGCGCCCATCTGCTGGCCCAGTCCATGCCGCGCTGAGCAGGTGAGGAGGGGCTGAATCCACGACCGAATGTGGGACTGAGAGAGGAGATGGAATCTGGTGGCAGAATGCAGTTTGTCTGAGCTGACATCCTCTGCCCCATGGCCTGCAGGAGAGCTGTGGGGGCAGTGGGGCTTTGCTCCTCCGGCCCCAGCTCCTATGGCAGGAGGAGATATGAAGGTGAGAGCTGCAAGCAAATCTCTTTCTGGAAACAAAGCTCTTTTGTGATTCAGAAAGGAAACGTCTATGTGGAAGGTGAAACCCAGAACCCAGGCAGTTACTGCTGTGTCTTCCCCGTGTGAAAGGTTTGGGCAGAGGTGCTGCCACCACAGCCTGCAGCCACGTTCTGGCCTTCCTCCAGCCCGGAGGACACCAGCCTGCTCCCCTGGGCGCTGACAGCCGCTCTGCAGTCGCTCAGCCTCCTTCCAGCCCGGGAACACCGGCTTCCCTCGGCTGAGCAATAGGAGCTCCCATCCAGTCTCCACGTTCTCCTGAAAAGGACACTCGCATTCCTCTGAAGAGCAGGAATCTCCATCTCCCATTCTCAAGCTCAATCTAGCACACCCAAAACAAGCACTGCCCACTGTTCTGGGGAACATCTACGCTTCAGGACGCGTCCTGAACAGGGCTGGAACAGCAGCGAGGTGAGAGCACCGTGCTGAGCTGCTATCCTACTTCAGCACCAGCCTCCAGCGCGCGGTGCTCCATGGCAGGGGTGCTCGGAAGCTTTTGCAATTCCACATTTCACAAGGTAAAAACCTCCCGAAAGGAGCGGCCTCACGGCCTGTTCTCCAGCTGACCGTGTTTGACTCTCCACGCCCAGCTGACGCTGCAATCCGGGGCCAGGGTGCACTGCAGCTCAATCCCCGAGTCGGGGACTTCCATGTCGTAGTGAATGGGGCGGCCTTCCTTTGTCACCAGGCTGAAGGCGGGGACGGGTATCTGTGGAGCAGAGCAAACAGAGCTGAGCAGCACGTCACATCCCTTAGCAAAGCATCACAGCCCCAGGAACGCTGAAGCAGGGAGGTGCTGTTAAAGACGGAGCTCGACTGCGATGCACGCAGTGGTTGACATTCAGAAAATACCTTTTCCTATCAATAAGCACTGAAATTACTTTAATAAGTGCATCGTTAGGTCCCTGGTTCACTGTTTTAAGGCATTAGGAGGCTGCAGGATAGAAGAAATGGCTTGAACAAAAGACTGCAATAGCCCTGGCCCTGTGCCTCACCTGGCTGCTTATCCCAGTGGCAATGTCTCCCACCTTTGTCCTGTGGAAATCCCTGATGTGTAAATTTTCTCCACTTAGCAACTGGATCTGGATTTTCACTCCTGAAAGACGCAAGAAAAGTCCTCAGCTCCTGCTGTGGGCACAGCAGCTTCACAGTCCCACGCAGAAGCACTGACAAACGAGGCACAGCCATCGAAGGTGCTTCCTTCTGTCATCAGGGATTTTGTTCAGGTAGGTCCTGGCACAAAGGATTGCTGGAGACAAAGGTGACTCACAGAGCAGAGCTGGGCCTAGCGAGAAAGCAGCTGAAGACGTGCTGATTTGCACAGTGTGGATTGCTCTGTAGAAATGAATGGTTGTGCAGCACCTACTCCTGCACACAGCAGATGCATGAGGTGTAAAGCTGAATCAGCCTCGGTGGGTCTGGGATCATCTGTGGCCTTCAGTTGGCTACACAGACTCGAGTGCCCCCCACCCACCTGCAGGGAGCAGACGTGGCCCCGTGGCAGCCCTGACCCTGGTAACACAGCAGCTGAGGACTGAGGAGGGCCCAGGACAACGCCGGGCAGCGAGGAAGCTGCATGTATGTGCCTGCTTGCTGACTTCAGGAAGGGGGGCTCACCATTGAAGCAGCTGGGGGTGTCCGTGTGGCGGCCGCGGCTCAGCACGTTGTTCCAGCTGAAGCTCTGTCCGTCTGTCTGGCTGTTCCAGGAATGGATGCCGGAGCTCATGGTGTCCCGCAGGCTAAGGGAGGCCTTCATGGAGTTCTGCAGGAGGAAGCATGAGGCCATCAGAGACTCTCAGTGAAATGGAGCTCCTGTGGGACAGCAAGCAGGGAACAGCCCCAGGGGAAACAAGGCAGAAATCCGTCAGGGTGGGCCTTGAGTTATTCAGCACTCAGCCACCAGCCAGGAAGGACCGGCAGCAGCGCTGTGCGGGTGTAAACAGCTGTTTGCAATAGTCAAACTCTTCGGCTGAAGAGTTGGATGGGAAAAAAAAGGGGTTTTCACCACACCCACAGCACAATAAAGCATCAGATAAATCTAATTTCATTAAGAGATAACGCACAGGAAAAGCAGCAGCTGCGCTGCTTAGAAGAGCCTGCGTTGTCTGAGTCAGGGGAGGTCAGTGTGACAACAGCAGCGTGTTGGTAAGCACCAGGGCAGCTGCTGGGGGTTGGTGTTGTGCAAAGGAAACAGAGAAGCACAGAGCTGTGTCCCACAGTGCACTGCTTGGCTTTGGAAATGACGATCGAAGGGCATGCAGTCAAATCACACCCATCCCTGGCTCAATAAGGTTCACTCAGGCGGTTTTTTCTACTGGTATTCCCTACCCTGCACGCAGCAGGGTTAAAGCAAACCAAACTATCGAAGCTTGGCGTTAAGTAGATTGTAGCACTGCTGGGTGCAGGTTAGCAGAGCCTGGCCCCCATGGCTGCTCACCTTCTCACTGGCGTCTGACACAAACGGGCTGTCAATGCTCAGACACGAAAGCATTTGTTCCTGCTCTTCCAGTGAGTATGGCTGAGAAAGGCTGTTCAGAAACAGCTCTGCAAGCAGACAGGAAAAGAAAACATTTCCACTGATTCTTTTCACTCCTTCCTGCTCCAATCGCAGACACTACAATTAATCCCCAAAGCGTCCTCAGCACTGCAGAGCAAACACTGACACCAGTGTTTGTGGAGCACCCAACACAGCGCCTCTGCACGCGGCAGCTATCGCTGCTGCCATGAGAACTGAGCCAGGACAGGCAGCTGAGCTGAGCACCCACTGCACGCTCCATACCTATTTCCAGCTGCTGGAGCTCTTGCTCGGAAATGGTGCTTGCTCTCTCTGTATGGCTGCAGCTCTTTAAGGGGAGGGGAGCGGAGGAGAGAGGAGGAGGATCCCAGGTCCTGGACAGATCCCTGCTCTCATTCCAGCGCGTTCCCTCACCCTGCCTCGCTCGCTCCAGGGCTGGTGGTGGCACAGGGCTGGCACTGCAGCCTCGGGCTGCCGGTTCCAGGTGAGGAGCGGCCGAAGTGGGGCTCGCTGTGGGGGGCAGGGACGTCTGGGGGTTGTTCTCCTTGTGCAGTGCCAAACGCCTGGGCGCTCTGTATTCACCTTTCCAGGGGCTTCTCACACCTCCCACTACAAAAACAGAGAACACACAAATGTTGTCCTAGAGAGGCAAAGGCTTGCTGTTACTGAATTGTCTCTTGCTGCGAAATGCCCCGATTTTTCAGAAGACAAAACCAGACGAAGCCCACAGACTCTTGGTGCGCTGCAGCAGGACTGATAGAAATTATGGGTTGTCTCAGAGGGAAGGGAGGGGGCCACAAGCACGAGTTACAGCCGAGGATGCTGCAGCTCTGCCCCAGCTTTGCTGCACAGCAGGCTCCAGGCAGCAGACACTGAACACCTTCACAAGCGTGTGTGAAGCACAGCATCGTCTGCTTCATGCAGACAAGGAAAAGTGTGACAGCACACAGGAAATCGCAGCGTACTTGGGGTCCCCTTGGGGTAAAATCAATCTCTTTCAATGCAGAGAAGAGCTCTCAACCCAAAGTGCACCTCAGTGCTGAAGCCAAGCGATAGACTGAGCAGAAAGCAGAACGCAGTGCAAAAAGCACCACCACTGCCCAGAGGAGCGGTGACAGGGCGCTGAGTGCCACTGTGCCAGCAGGGAGGCCCTGGAGGGGTGGCAGGCTGCTACCTTCTTGCAGCGCAGTGCTGGCCTTGGTCCTCAGCTCAGACGCAGACGCCCTCTGCACGGGCTCCTTCTCCAGACCCATTTTAATGATCTCAGCAGTGAGGGGGTTGCAGGAAGGTGGAATTTCCCTCAGAGGCGGCGGCTCCTTTGCGATCTGCATAGCAAACAGGAAGCGAAAGAGGTTAAACCAGAGAGGCTTCATTTGATTGCAAAAAAGGTTCTTCCCATCCCGAAAGTGCTCCCAACTGTAACGACAGCATTACACCACCGACCTGAGCCGTAATTTGCCTACAGCTGAGCAGTCGGTCACACCCGAGCCACGAGCACCATAGGAAAGAAACAGCCCCAGTCCATGTAACACACAGCAGCGTGCAGGAGTGAGAAATGCCCGCTGTGCAGCACGGCTGCCGTCATCTCAGAGACCTCCTGGCAGCACTGTTGTGTGGCTGCGCTGCTCCAGGCTGAAGTGCCTTTCGCTGGAGATCGGAGTGGCTTACCTTCAGACAAAGGGGATGATTGTAATACTGCGTCCAGGGGTGGCAGCCGTTCAGCATGTGCAGCATCATGCAGCAGCTGCTCCACACGTCCACCTTGGAGTCGCAGCGCTTTCCCAGGACCACCTCTGGAGCCATGTGTGTCTCTGTGCCCGGCACGTAGTTTCCTAGCAGCATGGAAATGAGAGCTCACTGTGTGCCAACAGCTGTCCCACCGCTGGGACGATGGGGCAGCCTCCCAGGCTCTTCAGTTAAGTGAGAGAGGAGTCAGCTTCACCCCACAGCAGCACCCAAAGCTCCACGCCCCACAGGCCTCACCCATCAGGAAACGTATTAATTTGCCTTTCCCAGGGCACATGGGAGGGGAACCATAACCCTCCGTTGGTGAACACAGCATTAGGAAACACGTCCTCTTCTTTCACCATTCCACTGCCCAGAAATCAGGGAGGAATTCTGCCTTTGGTGGAGGTTGGGATTCTGCCCCAGCTATTTAATGAGGCTACAGGAGCACCCAGTTAGATATTAAAGTTTGGACATGCTTTCTCACAGGGAGGAAGCACTGAATGTAGCATGAAATACACAACACCCCTCCAGACTGGAAGAGAAGGACCAGCTTCCAAACCTGCAGTCATTTCAGCTGCCGGTAGCACACGTCACAGTAGAATTAATAAACCTATGAGAAAGTTACGTCTGGAAAATACAGTAGCTTGAAAATTATCCATATGTAAAGGTTCTGAAAGAGTCAGTAGAGCAATTCTGTACAATAACAGCAGAGAAGCCTTACCTGTGACCAAGCACTTCCCCAGGCCGTCGGGATGGAGGTGAGCAGAGTGGCCAAAATCACACAGCAGAGCTCTGCTCCCATCATCAGACAAAAGTACGTTTTCCGCTGCCAACAAGAGGTGCTGAATTCATCAGTGCCCTTTCATGGGGTCACCCAGAGGGAAACACAGCCCAAAACCCACAGAGCTACTTTATTAACAAGTCCACATTAAGGTCTGTTACTCCTACGGAGCCTCACTGTACATCACCAGAGCCGTCCTGGCCGTGTGTCAGAGCTGCCCATCCCACACCCGGACACCAGAAAGGAAGGGGTGACAAATCCTATCGATACGCCCAACTGCTTTGGACCAAGCCAAGCTCCAATCCCCAAGGCAGAGCTGAAGATCTCATCCAACGTCCTTTTGTCACTCAGTAATCCCCAGCTGTGGGCTCCTGGTAAGAAGGAAGGCCACGACCCCATCAGCAGCCTCCTACCTTTCACATCTCCATGGAGAATGTTCTGAGCATGGAGGTACTCCAGACCTTCCAGTGCCTGCCCCAGGTAACTGAGGGCTCTGTCCTCGGGCAGGCAGCCGCTCTGCTTAATTAGCTGCCCCAGCGATCCGCCTGGAAGGGAACACAGAGTCTGTGTTCATTCAGCTGAGGAGAGTTCAACAGAATCATCAGCACTGTGACAGGGAAAGGAGAAAGAACTCCTGGCTCTGACAGCCCTCGTCTCCCACACCGGATCCATTCCTTTGTTTGTTCCCAGAGGTCTTACAGCACAAGGACACTGTGCCTTCCACAAAGGCCATCGCTTTGCATCCATTTCACAGTGCTGTTCTGCTCTGAAAGCAGCCACTGTGATCAGACTCATGCTGCAGGTCCCCGGGCTGCACTTGCCAGCAGCCTGGCTGCAGGAGGAGCCTTGGGTGACAGAGGAGCACCCAGGTTTGCCTGTCCAGAGCTCTCGGCCATCAGGCAACACACACAAATAAACACAGCACCAAAACCAGAAAGGAGCAGCTCTGTGTTTCAGTGAGAACGTGCAGTTGGAACGGAGTGAGGCCGGGCTGGAAACGCTGCCCAGAAACAGCAACAGCAGCCGCACACCCACAGGGACAGCAGGCAGCTTCCCAGCACGCTTACAAGGACAGGCCTGGAGCACCCGAGAATTGATAATGCAGAGCGGGGCAGGGAGGAGAGGCCCGTGTCACTGTGCTGCGCCTTTCCTTTCTCACCCTCCATCAGCTTCATGAAGATGGTCACCCAAGGTCCCTCCTTCACGGCGCCGTACAACGGCACAACCTTCGGGCTCGTTATCGCCGCGCACGTCGTCAACTCCTCTGCACGGAAGTGTTCGACCTGCACCTGGAGGAGCGAAGGGACGGATCTGGTGACACCCGCCACGCTTTTCTGTGTGCTGTAACGACGTCTGTTTCTATCCAGCCAAAAAATGGAATGGTTAAAGGAAGCCTGGCTGAGCCTCACCTCCTGCCTGCCTCCATGGTGCAGCCATCACACCACGGCCAACGCAACGAGTGAACATTTTCAGGTGGATTTTCACAAGTCGCACTGTTGTATTCAATACAACCCCCCCTCCCCCCCCCCCCACACACACACGCTCTTTTCAGCTTTCTGCTGCAGCCATTTGAGGAGCAGTTGCACAGAGGTGATGGAACCACGCCAGCGTTACGTGCAAACAAAGCACTTTGGATTCTCGTCGTCACCGCGCTGTGGCCGCACCGCAGCCTGCACAGCAGGAGGATGCGTCCCTTTCCAGAGCCCGGCCTCCTGCATCACACAACCCCCCTCCTCGCACGTAATTACCTTTTTGGCAGCACACTGAAATCCTGTCTGCTTGTCCTCTACTTTGTACACTTCTCCAAAAGAGCCGATGCCCAGGGAGCCGTGGCACTTGGTCCAGTGAACCTCTTCTCGGTACTCATAATCCACTGGCTTTAGTTTCTGGGGGAGAAGAACCACAAAACAAGATGAAGCAAGCAGAGAAACTTTAGCTGCTGTTGGTGGAGTTCACCAATTTCCAATAAATAGCACAGTAACATCACTTCTCTTTAAAAATCCATGAACAAAATTTCTTCTGTTGCTGCCTTGAGGTGAAACAAAATGGGAGGACCAGTGCTCAGAAATACTTCCCAGAGACAAGCACACGTGTTTGGCAAATGAGTGGACAAGTGAGAATCTCCAAACTAGGCCAGGACTTCATACCCTTCAAAAAACAGTCACACCTCTACCTGAAAGTGTTCAACCGTACCAACGTCCCCTTGGAAAAGGCAGCCTCGTGACAGAAGGACATGGGTTCTCTCTCTTTTGAAGCCCAAGAGAAACTGTGCCTCCCATGACACAAATGTGCAGGACAGGAAATCACCTCAGTGAGCAGCACGCCTTCATTCTCATCTGCCTTTTGAAATTGCTCCTTTGGGTCCAGACTGCCTCCCCTCCACGTCTTGGCGAGGCTGGCCAAGTTCTGCGGCTCCCCGAGGCTCACGCTGCCCTTCAAGGCGTCCACCAAGTATTCTTCCACAGAAACCTTGTCCAAGCTGCTTTTCATGGACTGGCTGACGCACTTGGGGAAGCTGTATCCCAACTTTAGGCCAGACAAGCGATGCTCACTGTCTGGGTAATTGAGATCATGGTGGAAATACGTCTCCAGAGCATTAAGCTTCATGGGATGGATAGGATTGTCCAGGTGTGGGAGGGCGGGGGGCGCGATGTTGTATGGAAAAGGACGGAGAGTTTCAGGATGAGGGACGTTGTCCCTCTGGTAGTGCAGTTTCCAGACATGATTAAGGCACTGGACAGGGCTTATCAGCTTGTGCAAGTCAGTTTTGTGCTGGCTGCCCACTGAATGGAGCTTCTCCGCGGACAGAACTTTCTCGGGCTTCTCAAACGGGGGTGGATCATAAAGCAAGCTCTTGTTCAGCTCTGATAACCAAAAGCTGTTTCTGTAGAGAGCGTTGTGGTGCGTTTCATCCTCCTAGGAAACACAAGAGAACAGAGCAGCTGAGCAGGAGCCTCAGGTCAGCTGCCCAGACGTAAGCAGGAGTGCTGAGCGCTTTGCCCAGCAACGCAACGAGTGCCCATGAATTCTCACCTGGACGGGAATCGGGGTGCAGCTCTCCTGTTCCGGAGTTCTGGGGCCCCGTCTGCCAGCAGCCACTGTTTGTATTTTCAGCTTGGATCGTTTCTTGTGACGCTTCTTCTTCGCTCTACCACGATGCCTCCCCCTCCAGCAGGTGGGAGCCATCCTCCCCTCTGTCGCATGGGCCACATTGTTTGGGATCTGGTCGAGGCTGTCTGAGCGGCTGTTGGAAACCAACACACACGAGGGCTCTTAGATGGGATGGGGAAAGCACAGCCTCAGCTAACAGCGACAAACGCGGGGATGAGACCGAGCAGCTCTGAGATGTGCAGGACGAGGAACTGCAGCACAGCTCCTTTCCCTCCACTGTGAGCAACTGCAACTCCGGAGTCACGGCACAGCAGTGCAGGTGGTGCCATTAGGAAGAAATGAGGAGTGTTTGGGGGGCAAAGCATTGAGGAATGGTTCCCTCTGCTTCAGTTGTTACAGGACAACACCAGAGGCAGAGGGCAATGTCAAAGCACGCAGCGCCCGACAGCTGCCACGAAACAGAACCCAACCCTACATCCTACCTCCCTACTTCAGGGGGGCTTTGTAGCCCTCCAGTCTGTGCCCTCAGGGGCGTGGGGTGAAAAAAAGGGGGTCCTGTCCAGAATATTTCAGAGAAGCAGAGTCACAGCGACCCTCACTTTCCTCCCTTGAGCTGTTTCTCTTCACAGCCCTGTTGCTGATGCTGTTACTAAGTAGAGGTTCTTCTCTCATCCCCTTTTGTTTGCCCTCCCCAGAAAAGCAGCAGTTCCTGCTCTCGTGAACAGCCCTCACAGCACCCTGTGCCTCACACAGCTTCCAAAGAGAATGCTGTAATGAGGTTCCAAAAGCATCAGTGCTGCTCTGTTAACAGAAGACCCAGACTGTCCCTCGGGTCAGCTCAGTGATTTCAAAGCTCCCAGCTGGAGCAGCAGAGCAGGCAGCACTGACAGCGCAGTGACCAGGGCAGGGCAAGGCGCAGCACTGCACTCTGTTCTGGGATCTCTCACCTGTAACGCTTGCTGTGGGCAATGAAGGATCTCTCTGACAAAGTGGGGCTGAACTCCTGACTGTTCTCACCTATATGAAAGAAAACAGGATCGTGGCACGTGTCCAGCATGACGGTAAGAAGTGGACTGAGGAAGCCCCCTCCCAACGTACCAACCCATATGGTGACCCAGCAGAGCCACAGCACCGCCTGACCCCCTGCTGCCCCCCACCCAACCACCTCTCAGCATTTCTATCATTATTATTATTCTAGAATGCCCCCCGGCAGCCAGGAACAGAAGCAAGACTGCGAGATGCATTTCCAGCCATCGCAGCGCGGTGCAGCAGCCACGCACCGTTCTGCTACTCCGTGCCATTCAATAATGCTGTCACATTATTAAGAGGTTTCATGAGCTGCCTAAATAGAGTCCGGGATGTGTCAGCAGCTCCAGCCCACGTGGGATTACAAATAGATCTCAGCTGGGCTCCCCAGGAGAGTGAAACCGCACACCGCCTCCCGCGTCCCTTCTGCTCAACGAGGAGCAGCGCTCCCTGCTACTCACACTCTGCCTGGGCAATAATGGAGATGGACGCGCAGCCTCCTTCTGTTTCTTCTTTTGCTGTTCCTTTGGTGATGACGTCGTTGAGGATTTTCCACTGGCTATGGAATATGGCTTTCTTCGAATCCTCGACTTTGCAGACGCTGCTTTGCTTCTCGCTCGCGGCCTCGTGCAGCCCTTTGGTGGCACTGAGCTCCTGCTGCTGCTTGGCGGGCGGAGCGGGGGCTCCATGGCACGCAATCCCCATCACTGCCATTTCACAGCTTCACAGTCCCTGATGAGGAACAGGAAAATAAAAGCACAACACTCATCATAACGCTTCCCAGCAAAGCAGCTCCACGCTCAGCAGAAACAGGAGCCTGCCCACGCCGTCCATTAACGCTGATCTCATCCAAACCGAGGTCCTGCGCAGCGCTGAGCATGGAAGCGAAGGCAAACCCACAGCCACCAGCTCCCACGTGGGGCAGCACCCCACCCATCACAGCCATCCCTGCCCCTTCTCTACAGAAATCATGGCAGATCTCAATGCTGTAAAACAATCCCTCGGAGCGGCAGAGGCCGGCAGGCTGATGACTAACAGTGAGCCTGCAGTGCGCACACCAACGAGCTCAGAGCTATTTTTACACTCCTTGTCGCCTGGTTTGCATTAACTCTGTCCCTCCTTACCCTCTCCTCACCCTCAGGGGCCACAGTGGAAGCCCTGCCCACCTCTGAGAGCGTGCAATTCTGCAAAGTGCCCCTCGGTTAAAAGGTAACGGGGAAGGGAGATGTGAACTGCAACTGTGTGACACGGAAAGGAGCAGCATGGGGACATCACTGGGAGAGCAGTCAGTGAGTTGGTGCCTCGCCGGGCAGCTAACGGAGCACGGCTCACGTGGCTCTATGGGCAGTGTGGGCACTGGAGCTGCCAGCACAGCCCAGCTGCTGCCATCCAACCATGAAGGCTTCCCAAGAACCAAAAACCCACCCGATGCGATGGACGCGTGGCTCAGAGCACCGGCGGGGGCTGCGACAAAAAGAAACCAACACAGAACTTCTCAATAATGACTGCAGCAGAACTTCTGAGATGAGCGGCTCAGGACCGCTGAGCAGCACTCGGCCCCACGGTGCTGCAATGTGAGAGCTGGGAGCCGTGCCCCCCGTGTGCCCCCCTGCACTCAGCAGCACCTGGTGCTGCGGGTCCCGGCTTTGCTGCTTTCAGAACCTCCTCTCACTCATCCACACCACTGAGACTCGACTCTTGATTTCAGTACCCCCGGCTTCCTTCCTTCTGCAGAAGTGTGCGGGGGCTCATTATTTGCCAGAGGAAAAGGAGAAGTCAGGTAATGAGGCAGCAAGTGAACGTGAGCACCGCAGCGCCGGTCCACGCGGGGCCCTCAGCTGCAGCAGGAAGGGTTCTTCAGGAAGGATGCAGCTCTCAGCTCTTAACCAAGGCCAGTTCTCACTGCCGTAAAATAGAAAGTGCAGTTGTACAGAACGAAAGCCGACGTGGTATCAGTTGTGCTGCGGCAGCACCGGCATGGAGCCGATGGCTTCCGCTGAGCGCGTGAGGGCTGCGTGGGGCTGCGGGGACACCAGCAGTGCGGGGCAGTGCAGCGCCTCCTGCTCCTTCCACTCCTGCCCTCCCGGCAGCGCCCTGCTGCCCCTGCCCAGCCCTGCATTGCACACAGCTCTCCTCTCCCGGTCCCAGCGCCCTGCGGCTGCTTCACGTCGACATTTTGTTCAGAAAAAGCATCCCGTCGTTTCTGTGAGGTTTCCCACTTCCTTATCGAGAGGAGCGTGCTGAGCGCTGCACCAACTTCTGCCGGTTGGCAACGTGGGGCGCTTCCACGACACGCTGCCCTCACCCCTCCAGGGCACCGCAGGGCTGCCACGTTTGGGCTCCAGCCGAAATTCAGGCGGTTCCGTTCCAGCAGTGTCAGCTCACATTGCTGCAGTGCAGAGAAGCTCCGTTGCCGACAGAAGGGAGAAGTTTCGATTTGTCTCAGTGGGGATTGAGAAAAGAAAGCTGCAGCACTCAGCACACCCCTGTGCCTTAACTCACACACGGCGCACGTGAAGTCAGAGAGAGGAGAAAAGACTTCCTGGAGGTACGAAGAGATCCGGGCTGGGAATGAGCAGAGGCTGCAGGCCAGCAGCCCCCGAGCAGGAGGCAGTGATGCTGGGCTGCTCCTCGCACTGCGCCGCCTCCTCTCCATGGTGCTCCCATGGCCTGGTGGCTCCCACTGCTCTCCATGTGTGCAGAACTCCTGGTGCTGTCTGTGAGGTCTTACAGACACCTCCTGTTCTGGTGGTTCGATGGCAAGCACTGCAAACTCCCATTTCTGCCAACTGTGAGATGGAGAGACCCAGCAACCGCCGGCCATCCTGCAGCCGGGTCACAACAGCTGTAGGGAAACATCAGCGAGCAGAACTTCCCCAAGAACCAAACATCCATCGTCGTTTCCCTCTGAGTCCCTCCACAACTCGTCATGAGTAGAGTTGCAAATAGCAGCGTGTCCCTGTTTGTTTTATGCACCCAGCTTTCCCAGCTCAGAGCCCACAGTGGGGCACAGCTGCTGCCCAACCACAGCAGCACAGCAGGCAGAGTGCCTGAATTAGGAAATATTACTTTTCTCTAGGAAATAATACTTCTCTTTAGGAAATAATACTACTTCTCTGAAAGAGTGGTCAGGCACTGCAATGGGCTGCCCAGGGACGAGGTGGAGTCACCGACCCTGGAGCTGTTCAAGGAACGTTTGGATGTTGCATTGAGGGACATGGTTTAGTGAGAACTATTGGTGATGGGCAGATGGTTGGACTGATCTTGTAGGTCTTTTCCAGCCTTGGTGATTCTGTGATTCTGTGATTGGATCCCCTGCAGCACCAGGTGCCCCGGAACCAGCTGTATGTGCCAGCAGGGCCCAGCACTCACTGTGGGACCGCTGCACGGCCCGAGGGTTCTAATCCACACCTATAGAAATACAAACACCAAACAACGTCCAAATTTCGCCGAACTTAGTGCAGACGGAGGCTCTTCGTAGGATCACAGCGTTGTAAGGGCTGGCAGGGACGCACGCAGAGCCCCCGGGGCGCAGCTCCATGCAGGCGGTCCGACGGCGCCGGGAGCAGCTGCGGCGCTTCCAGAGGAGAACGCAGCGCCTCCCGCACTGCCGCGCGACCCTCGTAAAGCCATCAGCGCTGGGGGTTCATCGCGACGGCTTTAGGCAGTAAAGTACAAACGGGAACGCGATCACAGCCGCTCCTCGGCGCCGCCCCGAACCGCACCGGGCGAACCTCGCCGCCAGCCCCGCCACGAGCCGCCGCGGGGACTCCGCGCATCCAACGCCGCGGGTGCCGACCGGGCTGCCCGCACGTGCGCCGCGCCCGGAGCGTCAGCGGGGAAACGGTGATCCCGGGAAGCGGCGACCCCAGCGCCCAGCCTCGCAGCCCCGCGCCGCTCCGCCCGAACTGCACCTCACAGCTCGCAGCGAATAACGGATGAGTCACCGCGGAGGAATCCGGCGGCAGCGCCAGGCCCAGGCAGCGGCACGGCCGGAACGGCGCGGAGCGGCAAGGCGCGGGGCGGGAGCGGAGCGGCGCGGGAGACGGAGAGCGGGGCGGGCGGGCGACCGGCCTCCGAACGGCGCCCCCGAACGGCGCGGCCCGACCGCACGCGGACGCCGCTCTCGGGCCGCCGCACGCGCACGGCGGCACCGGACGCGCAGATCTGCGGCGGCACCGCGTCCGGCTCGGGGGGAGGCGTTCCTCCGGACCCCGCTCCGCTCCGCCCCGCCCTGGGCCCCACCGGCCCGGCCCCGCGGCCCCCCCGCCCGGCGCGGCCCGCTGACCCCGGGAAGGGCGGCCCTCCGCCGGGAGCGGAGCGGCGCGGCACAGCGCGGCGCTCCGCCCGCGTGCCCCGAGCGCGGAGCCGCCCCGCACCGCCCGCACCTACCGCGTCCCGCGGCGCTGCCCGCCGCTCCCTCGCACTGACAGGCGCGGAAGCCGCCGGTCCCGCCCCATCCGCTGCGCAGCCAATCAACGCGCCCTGATCCTCCTCGCCCCGCCCTCTCTCCGCCCGCTCCGCCTCGCAGCCAATCGTCGCCTCCCCATCTCTCGCGCCCCGCCCTTTCCCCGCCCAATCTGACGCGCGGCCAATCGCCGCCCAGACCGCTCCCCGCCTCCCTACTTGTTTCCCGGAAGAGGGCGGGGCTTCCGGCGAAGCGCCCCGCCCACGACTTCCTCGGGCTCCGCACTGCGCGTGCGCGCGGTCACCAAAGTGGTAGTGCGCAAGCGCGGTCGTGGGCGCGCATGCGCAGAGCGAGCAACATGGGGGGGAGCTGCGCCGCTGCAGGGAGCGCCGCGCGAGGGCGGGGGGCCGGGCGTGCCGCTCCGTGCGCTGTCCGGGAGGGGCGGCTCGTGCCGCTGCTGCCCTGAACGGGAGGAGTTCCTCAGGCCGCTCCTGAGCAGCGAAGTGTGAACCAATAAATGCGCTCCGGCACCGCGCCACCGCCCCGTGGTTTTACACCAAACATCTCGCAGCGCTGTTCTCCTGCAGGCCGTGTACCCCCGTATCCCCCAAATCCCATATCCCCTCCATATCCCCCCGTATCTCATATCCCCTCAAATCCCCCCCGTGCCCCCATTGGAGCCGCAGCGCCCGGCTCTCAGGTTTGCTGCAAATCCCCGCCTCTCCCGGCTTCGGGCGCTGCGTTGCGGTCACAGACTCAGCCCCTCCCCCTCCCCTTCGTGTCCCCCGAGCGGACAACCAGCCCTGCTCTAAACAGAACCTCAGCCGAGGGCAGAGGATGTCCCGGGCCGTCGGATGTCAGCAAAGGAGCGCGGTGTCCGCTGCTCACAAAAGGAACGAGAGGCGCGCCCGCCGACGGGGGGCACGGAGCGCCCGAACTGCGGTCTGTGCTGCAGCAATAAAAGCCGCGGGTGGTTATCAGAACGAATGCAAATGGAACGAGTAAAAATCTGCGCTCTGCTATGCTGTGTGATGTGCGGGCTGCCTCGGGCTGCACGGCTGAGTGGGACAAACAGAGCTGGGGCTCCTGCGGGCTCTTTGGAGGTCGTGTCGTGACCTTAGGTTCTCTTTAGGAGCAGTGCTGCTCTGTGTGCCTGCAGGCGGGCCGGCTGAGCTCCTCGCCGCCCGAAGCAGATGCGGCACTTCGGGCTGATTGCTTTCATTCCAGTCCTGCTAACGAGCTGCGATCCTTGCTGAGCAGAGCCCCAGATCTCACGGTTCCTTTACAGAACTCTGCCATCCGGAGTTAAAAGGAGAGAAACGGCCGCAGGGCCGATCCTGCCCCGCGCGCAGCGGCTCTGCTCATCCACTCGGGCTGAGGGCAGTCGCAGGACGGCTCTGATGCTGACCTCAGTTCGTTCCTCCCAACTGAACGATGCCTTCGTGGCTTTAAGTGAGAAATTAGAAACAGCCTTACAGCGTTTCCAAAGCTTTTCATCTGCTCCTTTGAATACCAATCAGTCCCAATTAATCAGCGTTCGGCCCTGCAGGGAATGCACTCCTATAGGCTTCCTCTTATCTCTGCTAGAACGGGATCCAATGCTCGTTCTGCACAAGTTCTGCTTTCTGACGCCGCTCTGCTATCAGGAAACGCGCCTGAACCGCTGCAAGTCCCATCCCCAGCAGCTCCAACCTGGGTGTGCACAGAGCACGGAGCATCACAGAAAGCAGAGCTGCCCCACGTGAGCCCTGCATCTGGCTGGTGGGTCAGGATATGTTGGAAAATAAGCATAAAAGGTTTGCTTTCTTTTTAATCCCAGCTCTGAGAGTGGAATAGTAAATGTAAAATTCCAATGTTGGGTTTTTGGTTTTCTTTTTTTTTTTTTTTTTTTTTTTTGCTTTTTAAGAAAAGAAATATTTATGTATAGTCTGAAAAAAGGAGGTTGCTTGATTGTCAGCACTACTTCTAATTGAATTCTCCTTGCTTTAACTGGTAACTAATTAACCCAAAGTGAGCAACGACTTCCACAGAGGGAGCTGGCTGGGGTTCAGTTTCTTGGAGTCATTTCTCAAAAATGCATTTTGGAGAAAACTTTCATTCATCCAGAGCTTAGAATCAGAATCATGGAATGG